TGGGCCCAGGTAGTTCCAACACTGAGAACCTCAGGGCAGTAATAGAGTTCAGCTAAGGGAAACAAATTGATGGGTTTGAATGGTCTACTGATCTTTCCCACCACCCTATTTCATCTCTCATAAAGCTAACAGATTGCTCTGACTCACATTCATGTCAACCATCTCACTGCATCTGATCAGTTTTTTAGGGTTTGGGATAGAAATTGCTCTTGAGACGTGATGTAGCCCAGAGAAGCTGTGGATGCACTATTCCTGGAAGTGTTCAAGGCCAGGCTGGATGGGGCTCTGAGCAATCTGTCTAGTGGAAGGTGTCCTTGCCCATGACAGGGGTGTTGGAACAAGATGATTGTGAAGGTCTCTTCCAACCCAAAAAACTCTAAGATTCTATCTTTGCAAAAGAGAAGAAATGTTCCATCCTCTGCACCAACACTTAGAGCAGATGTTGGAGAGTTGTTTACCAGCAGGGTACATGAATGTCTCCATCCAACATACTGTGGAACTGATGACAGTCTCTTCCTTGATTTCAGTAGACTTTAGATCAGTTTTAGTTGAACAAAGTACCTCAGGAACAACTCTGGTGTTAGCAGAGAATTTTCTGCTCTGTTATTCACATGGATTTTTAAACAATGTCCGCTGAAATCAGTGTCCCTCTTTTCATTAACTACAGTTGGCTTTGGGTCAGGCCTGGGAAGATGCACATCTTCCAGAAATGCCATCGGGTGATTTCTTTAAAAATCATTGAACAAAGATATATGAGCGCATGGGATGATCAGCAGGGAAGAAAGTCCCATCTCTATTTTATACGGTTGGCTTCCTGCTCATATCAGCAATAATTTAGATAATTAAATTGCTTAGTTCAGTAGTTGAAAGAGGCACAATCAACAAGCTGACTCTACTAAGATGTCAGATGTATTAGTGTGCCGGGTTTTATATTTGTTTTTCTTTTTTGTGTGTGTGTGAAAAGCTGTATAATTGGACACTGTCTTTTTCACCCCCGGCTAACCTCTTCTTCAGAGGAGCATACCAAAGACATTTAAAATCACATTATGAATGCCAGCATAGTTACAACATTTATATCGCATATGGTGATGTTCAGTGGCAGCAGACGAATGGATGAAATCAAGCACAATAATAGAATCAGCCCCCCTTGAGTTTAACAGTAAGACGAACAGTTCAGTGGTATAATTTAGTAAAAGGCAAGTAAGAGCTCACATATTTTAATGAGGGGACTAAAGTCCATAACTTGGCATGCTTTTAACATTCTACTTTGATTCACTGGTCTTTGTACTGTCACTGTAGGGTCTTTGAACTTTTGCTCGCATGAGACAGAAACAGTTTTATTCAATCACGCTCCTGAAATGCTCGTCTTACTATGACTCCAGTTTTATTTTGTTTTGCTTTATTAATATTTGTGGCTGAATCACTCCTCTGAAGGATGAAAGAGATCACACAAAGTGTTCTGTTTTTCTCCATCTTTAACTCACGTGGGTTTTGCTGTTGGTGGTGTCTCTCAAACACAGAAGACAGAAGAGTCTGTGGAGAGTCTGAGATGGGGTATATCTAGTGTTTGTGCTTCAATTTAGTCTCCTAGAAGTGCTGTGGAGTTTTCTTCTGTGACATATTCTTTGTGTCTGCCCTTCTTTTCCTTTTATTTTTTCATGATGCCACTTCTAAACAAACAATTTTGCTTCTCCCATTCCACACAAGTTTTTCCTCCTTGTTCTCTGAGTCGCAATGATGAGATGCGAAGACCCAGCTGTCCTTTGGCTCTTTTTTTTTGATGCTGCTTTTTTCACTACATTCCCCAAAGATTGTTTACTTATTGTTCAAAACTAGAGACCTTACCATGCATTCTAACTGACCTAAAGGTCTATACTAACCCCCCAAAAAGTCATACTAAAGCTGAAAGTTATATAGAACTTGTGTCTATCTTCTGCATATTGTTTGTTCAGCTGTGAGATGGTATGAATAGCTGAGTGCTGTACTTGTATTTTAAATGTAGAGAGCTCACTTTAACATTTACCAGCGTGCTTCTCATCCTGGATGCCATTCCCACATCACGTTTGCATGTAGCCAGAATTATTCACCTCTTTTTTTCCCATTAAACTATTAAAAACGGAGCCTCAGACACAGAGTCCACAGTTTGGTAATAAACTCAGACATGATGAGATTTGTCAAGTCTTTTTGCAATGTCACTTAATACATCCTAATGTGTCACAAGGGAATCACAAAGTGATGTTTGTGAGATAAAAAGAAAATGGGATGTATTTTTAAATTATGAACATTGACTTATTCTTCTTTTAGGAAAATTATTCCCACATGATAGGCTGATTTAAAAATAATAGTAATAAAAAAAATCCATGTTGGCCATTTGGAAACAGGGTCGACTAAACAGAAATTCTTGGACCACTCTGACGCCTAAATTTTCCCACTTTTGGCTTCTTTTTGACCATTTTTCCTGGAAAGGGAGATAAATGGTGAACAGCTGCTATAATATCAAACTGGGCTCAGGGACATACTGAGATGGGAAAGAAACCAGTGTGGAAAACCCATCACCAAAAATATCTTATTTTCAAACTTTCTTCTAATGCCCCTGAAAGCTTCCTTGCCATGTTATGAGTCCTGTTGATGTGAATGGGGCAATTTTCTCTCACTGGCCCACCTGTACATAAAGTTGTTGCAAGTTAAGAGACTTGGTTCAATTATCAGTGTTATAAAACTGGATTATAGCATATTATTATGTATTTTGGCCTGAATGCAAGAATAATATTGAACCATAAATGCGCATTAAAGCCACCACAGGTTATGATTCTAGGTTTTAAGCAGATGATATGATTCGATTTGTGGTGCTTTTTTTGCCACTATTTTTAGAATAAATGGCTGTTCTGAGACACCTTTCAGCATTCATAATACAGCAGTGAGCCCTTGAAGTGCTTTGGCAGGGAGTGGGGAGGACTGATGCCTTAGAGACACAGATCTCAGACCTGGTTATGTGGGCAGTCACACATGTACCAAGCAAACAACATCCACCAAGCTGCATCCGCTGCTTCCAGAGCCAGCGTTGTTCAATCCCAACGCCGCTCTGCTGACTGACACCAGCTGGTGCTCTGCTCCTTTTACCCTGGCCTCATGTGGGTTAGCAGCTGGCCAAGACTGTTTTTAAGAATGTATTTATAAAACTTCAGAGCCATGCAAGCCCAGACACAGAGAAAGGACATTTTGAGCTCTCGGTGCTGGAAGTGCAGGACGTCGCTCGGCAGATCTGGTTTCCCAGCTCTTGCTGCTGCCACTGACCTGCTGTCCCATCACCAGTGCCTGAAAACAATGCTTCCTAAAAAATCCAGGGAAGCAAAAACTTTGGGCTGAAGGTTTCCATAGGTATTTTAAGTAAAATAAGCCTGTCCTGATCTGTCTGCAAGTGGCTGCCTGATCAGTATTTCAATAATGCACTTATTTAGAAGGAAATTCTAACTACTGTAGAGCACAGTGGTATTTTCATGCCTTTTTTACCCTGCAGCCTTTTCCAGCTGGCTCAAACCTGAGCACCTTGCTGTCTGGTAGGGACATCGTCTGGTTGAGGTGTAAACTACAGCACCTGCTCATGTCCTTTGGATTTAGGATTGGTACATGAATAAATACAAGGGTTTTTTTTAATTCTTTCTTGAATTTGTGTTCCACTGCTGGCAGATACTTCCAAGTCTTATTTGCAGAGTGAAAGGTTTATTATATGTATTGCTTTTCTCTTCATCTGCATGTGATATGAACTTTTGAAGACAAAAGAGCCTATAGTTTTCTGTGTGAATAAGAATTTATAGCTACATCTCCACAACTTCATAATATTTTTCCCTTTTTAATTTCCTAAACCAGCACAACGTGCACTTTATTCCTGACTTACGTGGTAGAGATAGGTCCAACATTTGACTGATCAAGACTGGTTTTGAACAAAAGCTGACACCACCATTCTTTATGATTCCCTATGGCTTTGAAAAGAAATATCCTAGAATGCATAATCGGCCCTGCAGCAATGATCTACATCACACAGTGTCCTCTTCATGACTTCTCCCCAGCTATCAACAGTGAGAAGCAGACGTGCAAATTAAAAGACAGAGAAGGCAGAACTTCCCCCAGAAAATGGACAAAGAAATCATTGGAATCATTAAAGAGGAAAAGAAAGAGTAGAAGCAGGTTTCTCCCCTCTGTATGTGCAAAGAATAGGTCAAACTGCAATGACTTCATGATATAACAAAAAAACCCCAAACCAAACAAGACCAATAAGTTAATAATAGATTTATTTTTTTTATATAAAGGAGTTGATTTACTGTTATAAAACACAGCTAAACTTTTGACAGCCCAGCCACTTTGCCTGGCTTGTTACATCATCTAACTTCAGTAGCTTCAAAGTCTATTCAAACCTTACGTTGAAGATCACCCACCTGTGCTTTTGCACTTCTTTAAGTTAAGTAGTTGAAAGACATGCTTTGAAGCTGCTGAGTTTACTCCTACAGAGAAGGACTGATGACAACAAATAGATATATGAAAACATCAGCATATTTTTAGCATTCATAATTTCTGAGACTCCAGAACCAAAAGCAACACTGGGTGAAGTGGCAGTGGGTTGTGTGTGTGATTTGTAGTGGTTTGTATCTCGGCTCTGCGTTGTGTATCTCCTAATGATGAATGCGTGGGAGGGCCAGGTCAGGAATGGTTTCCACTCCAGTGCGCTGATTGTGTAGTTGGCAGTGGGCTCAATTAAAGTATAATAATCTGGTAATCTCTCTCCTGTTTCCATTCAGCTGCTTCACAGTGAATAGAGCCAGTGAACGAGTATAGCTTTTGAAAAGTAGGTGAACTCCTGCCTCTTTGTCTGAGCAGTTTGTGTCTAGTCAAGTAAAATGACAGGCAGAAGAGACAACTCTCCAAAACGTTGCTCCCATGACTTGCATCATTACTGTCATTTGTGTTTCTGTGAGATAACACTTGCTCTTTATTTTCCTTTCTAGGCTACAGATTGGATTTCTAGCAAGCTTCCCACCACGGAGAACAGACAAGCTGATGTGAGAAGGGAGATATGGATATGTCCATGACGGGAAGATGCCGTGTGTCCCATCTCTTGGTTCTTCTCATATTCATGTTCAGCAAGGAGAGAATCGAGGCACAAAGAGCAGGTATGCACCATTCAGGTTACTGCCTCATGCTCAGGAGCTGCTGGGGCTTTCCCGTGGCTGAGAAGTTATCATTGCTAGGAGGTAAACCGTAAAAACCCCGAGATGTTTACTGCTGAAATTACATAAAAAAGACCTTAGGGATGGAGATAGGTCAGGGATCGAGGTTATGGTTTAGCTGGGGTCTCTTGTTCTGTTACAGGCTTAGAAAGTTTAGCTCAGCTACTCACAGCAAGAGGAGCAGTTTACCACGGTTTACTCTGGATATGCTCCATCTACTCCACACTGGCATGGTGTTTGCTTCTTCCATCACCTTCTGGGAGTGTCAGAGGAGACCTGGTCACTCTTCTGTCTGACTGTGACTTTCCTTGTGAGCTAAATAGGGCCAAGGCACTGTTCATACCCTTTCTTGGTTCAAGGTATTTAAAAGACATGTTGATGTGGTGCTTAAGCAGCGTGGTTTAGTGGTGGACTTAGCAGTGCTGGGTTAATGGTTGAATTTGATGATCTTAAAGGTCTTTTCCAACCTGAAAGGTTCTATGATTCTAGGTTTCTATACTGCCTAGTTGCCAGTGTGGCCCCCTGGCATAGCTTTTGGTCTGGGCTGATGAACACTCTGCCCCAAATGCCCCTGAATACATTAGAGGATGGTGCAGCTGAGGGACCGCTGCTACAGGCACTCAGAACAAGGACACGTTGGGTTTTGTGCAGGAGTAAGAGTTATCTGGCACCAGTGATGCCACATCTGAAATGGAAAATGGTTGTAGACCCACACAATTTTTGGTATAAAAACCCAAAGGCATTTTGAGATGGAGGTTTTCTGTCTCTTTTTCTAGGAAAGCTGCTATTCTATAGGCTTGGGTGATTTATAAGAAAGAAAAGGCTTTTTTAGACCTTCTCTCAGTTTTACAGTTTAGCTGTTTTACAGTTTTCTTATGTGATCTATGGAAGGCTTTTGGATGAAATTTAACAAGAATAAATACTTAGTAACCAAACAAAGCGAAATCTCACCTTTTTTCTCTGCTTCTGAATTAGTCATAGGCAGAATATAGTGGTGCCATTTATTTGTTCATTCTATGCTTACTTTAAGTAATTTTGGTCTTATGGCTTGTTTTTGAACTATTTTTAATGGGAATATTGCAAAACAGTTGGTTCAGTGTCAGAATGGATCAATACAACTCCCTGAATTATGCTTTCAGAAAGTATTTCTGCAATTACAAAACTGAAATTTTGCTTTGCTATGAATTATCTCCAATATTCCCTTAACATGAACTTGTTTCTGCCAGTAAAAAATACTGTTATAATGTTCTTGGAAAACAATAAATTTTGTCCAGCAGTGGCCCTTACAGTGCTAAAAATGCAGATTAATGTTTACCAAAAGCTTTTCTGCAGCATTTCATCTCCCTCCCATCAGGTCTGTAAGCAAAGAATCACTAACTCCAAGAAAATGATCCTGAAAGACCACATTTTTCTTCCTTACGATATTGCCTTGAATACATATCACTTTTAAAACCTTAACTCCGCCTTGTTTTAAGGCTTGTTGCCCTTGAACATAGGCAGGATTCATTCTGTCTGTTCTGGTTTTTTTTAAATTGCAGTCGTCTCACCTGCTGTGAGTGGTTAAAATAAGCAATAGGACTGGTCTGTACCTTGTGGGTTTTGTTCTCTACTTAGTCTCACCTAATTAAGGTTCTTTCAGACATAATAGATAATTATAATAATGAATTTGGGGAGGGGAAGTGGACAAGTGTAGATTCCTTGCTTACCTTTTACTGTTATACATTCTATGCTTTATATTCTCAAAACATCAAGTGGAACCACACTTGACATTCTAGCTCATATACACAGATGTGATGTAACTTGCATCCCATTCTATAAAATGATATGTACCATCATCTCTACTCTCAGATTACCTTTGGAGAGTTTTCCCAGACAGACTTTTCTTGCTCTGTGGTTAGAGGCGAGCATTCCCTCACTCCCAAAATGTCATGACAGAACACGATCCCACATGCTGGTTTGGGCTGGGATAGAGTTCATTTTATTCACTGTAGCTGGTATGGGGCTGTGCTTCGGGGCTGTGCTTCAGATCTGTGCTGGAAACAGTATTGGTACCACGGGGCTGTTTTTGTTACTGCTGAGCAGGGCTTACACAGGGTCAAGGCTTTTTCTACTCCTCACCGCACCAGTGAGGAGAGTGGCACAAAGAAATTAGATGAGGACACAGTCAGGAAAGCTGCCCCCAACTGACCAGAGGCATATTCCAGACCATATGGTGTCATTCTCAGAAATAAAACTGGGGGGACATTTGGCTGGAGGCTGCTGCTCAGGGTCTGTCTAGGCATCAGTTGGTCAGTGGTGAGCGTTTTCATTTGTGTCATTTGTCTTTCTTGGGTTTTATTTCTCTCTCTTTGTTATTTTTATTACAATTTCTTTTTCTTTCTATTCTTATTTTATTGCATTCTATTTCAATTATTAAACTTTATTGTCTCAACACTTGAGTTTTCCCACCTTTACCCTTCCAGTTCGCTTTCCCCAGTCCTGCTGGGGGGGAGTGAGTGAGCGGCTGTGTGGTGCTTAGTTTCCAGCTGGGGTTAAATCATGACAACAGATTATTTCCAAAGAGATCCCACGTGAATGGGTTGATCCCAATGTGGTCTCAATCCCATGTGCCTAGGTTGTTCCCACAGCCACTGCAGCACCTGGGATGTACTCTGCTACAGAAGCCAACACAGCAGCAGATGATGCTCATTTTTTATCAGCATCTGCCACACACCAGGTGTAAATTCAATCACTCTCACAGCCATCATGTAATACCATGAGCACTGACCTACTTGGGATGCTTTTACTCTTCTCTAAAGGCAAATCCACTTCATGTGGCTGAGCTTCCACGCTCTCCTTTCCAGTGCAGTTGGCAGTTCTGGCATTCTTCCATTCAGGGAAGAGTCACAGACCCAGGATGAGCAAAAGCACCAGAGCTAATTTTGGTCAAAATTTTGGTGTGGGGGAATGCTTTCTGACTTTCCTGTAGGTTCAAATGTTGGAATTCAGTAAGAAAATATGGCATTTTACCATTAGTTTAAACAAGCAGTTGTACTTTGTGAGATGATGTGAGCCAAGAACTACTGGAGAAATAATCGTTGGTGGTTGTGATCAAATTGGCTTTGTAGAGCAGCTTGCAGTCTTAAATTCATAATTTATTAGGGATTATGGTCTATAACAATGAATTAAAGAAACATGTGTATATATATACACATTTTGTCCTGTTAGGGCATTATGTTGATAAATCTTGGGCATCTGTGGGATGTTTATGGATCTACTGCCTCCCGACTTGCATATATTCAGAAACAGCTAAAAACATCTCCTGAGAGATCTAATTTTTTGGCAAGTGTCTGACAAATATATGACCAGTCTGGCTTGATAGGGCAAGCGAGCTGCAATTAAAATACATTTGTGTTTTGGATTACACAAGCCTCACATTACAAATATCATGGTTGCAGGCAAAGGGGTGGTTGTGGGGATAAGTGGCATTTTCCCTTACAAGGCAGCTGCCCTTTGTTGACAAGGAAGACATCCCAAAATTCAGTGAGTCATCCTTTAGTCAATGGTCAGTGGCAGAGAGCCTCAAAATTGCAATAATCTTGTTATAGACTTGCTTCACCAACACATCATGCTGAGCAAAAGAACTACTTCTAACTAAGCATAAATAAATCATAAAGTTAATGCAAGAGAGAGCATAAAAGCTTCACTACTCACAGTCAGGATTGGCATAGGCAAGGTCAGGGCAGGTCTCTTGATCTGCTAAGGTCATTTCAAAGCATTGCCTTGGAGAAAGGCACTACAATGAAGTCAAAGAAAAATAGCTTCATATGCATGCAGATGGTGTAGATGAAGGATTGAGCAGAGGCAGTTTAGCAGCACGGGAAGAGAAAGGGTTTGCATTTCAAAGCAAAGTGTGTGCTGATTTGCAGATGTCCTGAAACAGATGAGGTGAATCACAAGGAAGAAAGGCTGCGAATCTGCACTTCCTCCACAGGATAGGGACAGAGTTTGCTACTTCCTCCAAATTGCTCACTAGGGAGCCATGCCTAGGGAATATTTGGTATGTCTGGTACTCTGCTTTTATCTTCCCTTAACAATATTTTCTGCCTCTCTTGCAGGTTGCAAGAGTGTTCACTATGACCTTGTCTTCCTCTTGGATGCCTCCTCCAGTGTCGGAAAAGAAGATTTTGAGAAAGTTCGTCAGTGGGTGTCTAATTTGGTGGAAACTTTTGAGATTGGCCCAGACAAAACCCGTGTGGGTGTGGTGCGATACAGTGATCATCCAACCACAGAGTTTGACCTGGGAAAGTACAAAACCTGTGAGGAAATCAAAGAGGCTGCACGAAAAATTCAGTATTATGGGGGTAACACGAACACTGGAGATGCTCTCAGGTACATCACCACCTACAGTTTTTCCAAAGAAGCTGGTGGGAGACTCAGTGACCGAACTGTTAAAAAAGTGGCCATCCTTTTGACTGATGGAAGGAGCCAGGATTTTGTCCTAGATCCAGCCACTGCAGCACATCAGGCTGGGATTAGGATTTTTGCTGTGGGTGTTGGAGAAGCCTTAAAAGAAGAACTTGATGAGATTGCTTCAGAGCCCAAGTCTGCTCATGTGTTTCATGTTTCTGATTACAATGCCATTGATAAAATTCGGGGGAAGCTGAGAAGACGCCTCTGTGAAAGTAAGTGGAGCTCTGCACAACTGGAATAGGTTCAGTTAGCATGTAGGTATGAAAAGCTGTGATTTTTTTTCTTTCATGCCTATAATTCTACACTGATAAATCTTTATTTTTGTGTCTTCCGCTCAGTTTGATTCTGTAAGAAATCACTGTTCAAGGCCAGGTTGGATGGAGCTCTGAGCAACCTGATCTAGTGGTAGGTGTAACTGTTCATGGCAAGGGGCTTAAAACTAGGTGATCTTTAAGGTCTCTTCCAACCCAAACCATGACATCTATAATGTCATGATTCGATGATTTTATATGTCAGCTTTAGGGGACAACCACAGAGCAAAACATGAATTTCCTTTTGGTTCTGATATAGTTCAACTACTTTATAATATTTTGGACTACTGAATATGAAGGGTGACAATTTTTTTATACACAGATTTTGGTTGATTTTGTATAGGAACCGTTTATTTCCCCTTTACTTACTAGCATTTTACTGTGAAAAGAATGCTCTGGAATAATCCTTAAGGAAGCAAAGGGATGTTTGTGCTTTTCTGCCTTTCAGCATCCCAACTCTACTGACAACTGGTGTTCACTAGTTCTCTGGCTGTCAACACCTTAAGCCTTGGTGATGTTTTGAATGACTTTTAATGGAGAATAATCTGTGGAATTTACATGGAATAAATGACTCTGAATTTCCAGCTCCTTGCTGAAGAGGACAGGAATGGCATTGTGGCTGCTATTTCTGAGTCCTTTAATGGGAACAGCAATCACACAACCCTTTCTCCTTCCACCACTGCCAAATTACTCTCTCGTTCTCAGCGACTCCATGAAAGCTACCTGGTTTTGCTGGTTTTGCAGTGTGTGTTGTGGTTACTGTGAGTTCTTTTGGTCAACAACACGAGATCCCACTCTTGGTTCTCGATCTGAACTTGGAAGACAACAGCTGACTGTGATGCTGTGACACATTGCAATGTAAGGATAACCAGGTCTGTGAGCTGGCAAGTTGTCACTGTTCATGACAACAAGTTGCCTCAAAAAAACACATGTTGTAGCTGATGTTGTAAAGATCCTTCATTGATCTCTGTGACCTCCATTTTACAAAAAAAAAAAAGTGTTAACACAATGCTCTGGGCTTATGTGGGGTCCTTAAAGAGTGACTAGGACAAGCAGGCATAAACTATTTGACATTACCCAGCAATATCAAGATGTGTCTGCTTTTTCAGCCTGGACAAAAATGGGTGTGGATAGTGTAATGAATAAAAACGGAAGTCATGGTGGATAATGCCTGTAAGTTATGCAGACTGAGTGAGCTCGGTCTTTTTTCCCTGAAAATCCTATTTAATCATACACACAACTGGGCTGTAATAGGGAAGGGTAAGCCCTTCTGGTGGGCACACTTGGCCAGCTCAAACAACTTCCTACTGCAGCTGCTGAACTCCTAAAAATGTGATTTTCCTTTGGAATTCTACTACTTTTCTAAAGCAAGTGTTTTCTGTACTTTGTGCCTGGGTCATTGTTTGTTGCCTTCTCAAAAAATTATTTATCTGTCTGTCAGAGTATAATGCCACCTGTTTGTGGCTTTCTGAGCCCATACTACATCCACATATGCGTGCTGATGCCTTAAGCCCCTAATGTTTTTTATTTTATTTTTCTAATATTTGTAAGAATTTTAAGTTTTAAAAAGCAGCAACCTCCCTTCCCCCCCCCTTGTCACTTGTTCCTTTCCCTTGTTTATATATTCCCTAACCCTCTTACCCCATTCTATGCTTTCCATATCAATCCTGCTTCTGAATACAGCAGAGTGTTTAGTCTTTTGTCAAGACAAGGACAGAACAGCATATCATGGCCTAAACCACAGAATACGGTCAAAAATTAGGTAACTATGTACCCTTTGTGCTCTGAAGATGGTGAAGATGATGAAGTAAAAGCCCCCAGACCCATTTCTCAGGGGGTGGACCCGGGGTGGACCAGAGGAAGGGCCAAAGGGTGGGCACATTTGGGATTGGATAGATGGTATTATAAAATGTAACCTCTCAGGCACGGCCAGCGTGCGCGTCGTATAACATCTTGGCAAATAAACCCTTTCTTATCTCACCCCTAATTAACTTCTCCGGAGATTTTTTTCAGCACCAAAATACACAGGCAACAGTGCAAACCCATTCTCATTAGATTGCAAAGGACCAATGGGAACATCCTTCATCCTCAGTGCGATGGCAGTCACTCTCTAAGGTCTTCTGTCTTGACTAGGGATTCAGTGAGAAATGGAGGCTGTGGTGAGTTTGTCACGTCTCTGTTGTTCCCTCCTCTTCAGGAGGAGGACTCTTTGCATTCTTTCTCTGCTTCAGTGTGGGCTTCTCTCTCCAGATGTCCACAGGTCCTACCAGGATCCTGCCTCAGTGGGGGCTTCCCATAGGGTCACATCCTCCTTCAGACAACCACCTGCACCAGCACTGGGTCTTTCATGGGCTACAGGTGAATCTCTGTACCCCTGTGGACCTTCATGGGCTGCAGGGGCACAGCTGCCTCACCATGGTCTCACAGGAATCTCTGCTCCGGTGCCTGGAGCACCTCCTCCCCCTCCTTCACTGACCTTGGTGTCTGCAGGGCTGTTTCTCTCACATATTCTCACTCCTTGCCTCTGACTACGATTGCTCCTGAGCAGTAACTTTTTTCCCCTAAATACGTCATCCCAGAGTCTTCCCTAAGTCTTTTTCTTTCTGCATTTAAAGCAGGGAAGCTGCTTTTGGGCAGAATCAGTTTTATCATACTTATTTAATTTAATCTTTTGCATAAGGAATGTTTTTAATAGGCATTATTTTTAGATCAGGTCTGAATAAACATGAAAATCTTGCTGTAATTGAAGCCAACCACTGAAATAGAGGATGAAATAGTGAGACCACCAAGTGCAGAAATATTAACATAGAGATCAGTTAATTTTTTTGTTATCTGAAAGTGTGAGGTGGAATTGTTTTGAGGGGTGAGAGGGACCTGATAGAGAACAAGACTGAGTGATTCTCTGTGCCTGTGGCACTTTTAAATTCCTTGTTGACACAGTAGGAACAGGAAAGGAGTTCACTGTAATGGCTGGGCCTTCTACGTATTTAGAAGGTAAAACTTTTAATAGCTGTTGTAGTTAACTTTCAGTGGTTTTAATGATAGCACTGCATAAAACAGGAACATACAAACCACTGGGTAGGTGGAAAACGTGACAAGGGCACATACCAAGCTGCTGTTTACTTTGTGCACATTCTGAGACAACACATATATTGCCATAACCAAGCTCAGGTTTTAATAGACATAATCCCTTGTGAGCTCTAGGGAGACACACGAATCAAAAGGCAGAAATGGCAGGAAGTTTTTTTGTTGTACTGACCAGTGATGAGTCTTCCAGTCCTTGTACTGCTGTGCTACCAAAATGTGAAGGGTTGTGAAGTGATGCAAATGCTGGATTTCACGCCAGCAGCTGTTCAGAATCTCTTGTCTCAGGCCTCACTGGACATCTGTCCAAGACTCAGTCATTCCATCTTGCTATATTTGACTGAATTTATTGCTAAGAACATGTCATTAAATGCATTAATAGCGTTTTAGCTCTCATTTGATCTCGTGGAAGTAAGCATAGCAGAATCGAAAAATAACGTCTGCTCAGTAGGACACTAAGGCAGTGGAGATATTTTTGCCAAACATCTCCATTACATTCTGGACTATATCTGGCAGGCAAAAATGGGTGATGCTTTCACAGGAAAACAGGAGAGATACATTCTACTGAAAATTCCAGAGATGCTACATGCTTCCTAAATACAGTTCCTGCTTATATGTTGTAAGGATAACAACGGGCAGCTATGGAATATTTAAAAATATACTTGCATCTGCTGCTGGTAGGTAAATACTAGGTTTATGCTTATCAAAGAGAGCAAATTGCTTTGATTTCAACTCATATTTAATTAAAGCTGGATTTGATAAGTTGATGCACGTACAAAGTTTTCAACCTCTGTTGAAACTGGCAGCACTGGTGTTTAATATTATCACCATTTAAGCCCCACCAGGGGAGATGTTGCAATGGTGACCAAAACAGCCCTACCTGCTCAGAGGTAATTGTTTCTCGAAAACACTGTTTGCAGTGCTTTGGATGATTCAATACCCGAGTTTATTCTGTGATCATTAAGCCGGGGAGGTGATAAGATACAGGTTGCAAAGCTGAGAAAAAACATTATCCAGAAATTCTCACTCTTTACTGCCTCCATGAAGCAGAAACCTGTGACTTGGCACCACTGGAGTACATGGCCTGTATGTGCCATTACTAAACCTCTGCTTGTCTGTAAAAATCAGATTTCACAACTTGAAAATAAATTTGGCTTTAGAAGTGCAGTCTTGGCTAAGGTTTGCATGGCTTTTTTCTACAGCTAGTAACAGGAGAAACACAAGCAGATGTTTTCTAAGGAAGGACTATAGGATCATTATGCTCAGCATTGGTCTATGTCCAGTAGTGACTTTCTGCAACCAGTTTTTAGTTGCCAGTAAGCTTGATGAGTTTTTCTGCAAGTATGTAGAAGACCAAATGACTGTCATCACATGAATCTCAAATGCTTTGCAAACAGAAGGAGACGAGGCTGAATTGTTTCAGCAGTGGGTTGGTACCAATGGTTTGTCATTGACTTCAGTTGATGTAGTGAGGCCTGTTATAAGACATCAAAAGCAGTCACATGTCCAGATGATTCACAAGATTTACTTTTCTATTTATACGTGTCTTTTTTGACTTTGGGTTATGAATGAAGTGCATAAAATATAAGACTTATGCTACCACTGTTCTGTTACTGATGAAAAAGTGTTTCCAGCCTTCAAGGCAACACCTTGAACACCACTCAAAAGAATAGCCTGAAACCTTCGGAGGTGTCTCTTTTTCCCAAGGTCAGCTTTGCTCAGGTTCATGATATATTCACAGAAGAACAGCAAGCTGTTTCTTCTTGGCCTTTAGTGTTAAAAATGTCTCATGCACAGAGACCACAACACAGGGTAGGCACCTGAATTGCCATGTCTTGACTGACAG